TCTCAAACTCACACCTTTTTATCAAGTATCCACTTCATCACTGTTCTCTATGTCCTCTTAGTTTACTTACAATGTTTTTAACGCTGTCTCTTACACAGCATTAAATGATTGTGAATGATGAAGTGAAAAGGCTATGATAGTGATGGGTCTACTTTAAATATGTTATTACAATGTTATCCTGGACAGCCTTACTTGTTTAGAACTTAAAGGAACTAGGGATAGTTACCATTTCCAACCCAGCAATTGTTATTGGTTGACGACATACTTGTCTGCCATGCTGCCCAACACCACAGCTCCCGTGAATACACCGAACATGTAGGCAGTTTGAGCCACCGCACCCATCCATCGTCTGTCACAGACCAGATTCCACTAGACAAAAAGAATAAAGGTGAAGAAGAGGTTAATTATATAATAAAATATGTTTCAACAGAAAAAAGCTACAACATGTTGTAATTCATCATAAAATTACTTTGTAAAATTTTGTTTCAATCAGAATTCTCAATTATATTTATCATGAAATAATCAAGTTGTTTTGGGTTCAATTTGTTAATACATAAAATCTTTAACAACATTTTATTTAATATAGTATTGCAGTAAAGTGACTAACACTCTTGCTTCATACTTGTGAATTTCTGAGTTCAAGTCTCAGTCTAGGGACTGGTTATCTTGACTTAATTCTTCATGGCTCTTCTCAATCTCTACAGCAACTTAACTCATGCTGCAACCACTTTGTTTCATCCCTAATTTATCATCCTACCATATGATACTATATTATCTACGCTACTGACAGTATCATTAAAAAAACTCAAAACAAATGGACTTCGGATAGTGTAACACAGACAAGTATTCAGGTAATTACATAGTATTTGTTTGAAGGATACTTTGCGAAACAAGAGTTGAATGGGATACTAATATGATGTATTACATACAAAAATCAAATTCTTCTTTTTGCTTTATTGATCTTGTGCTTAAATCTTGTGGCAGATGCAATCACTAAAATCCGTAACATAATAAGAAATTACAGGCACTCAAGAATACGAGGTGCTATCGGAAAGTTCCTGGACTTATTGTTGTAACTGCCTCAATGAAAGAAGATGAGAGGGAACGCCGAGGTCACACTTCTGCAAGCCCATTGCATCAGTGTGCCATGTGACACTGTGCTGTGAACATGCACTGTTTTTACAAGAGTGCTTTTTTTCTTTTACTTTTTTTGTTTCGTTGTGTCTGTGATGGATGGCAAAATTGAGCATCGTGTCGGCATCAAGTTTTGTATGAAGTTCGGTAAATCTGCTACCAAAACCCCCGAAATACTTCATGAGGCTTTTGGGGAACATTCTTTAAGCCAGATAGCGGTTTTTTAATGGCATTCATGTTTCAGAGGCGGTCAAGTTTCAGTTGAGGACGACAAATGTTCAGGGTGAGCAAGCACCAGCAAAATGATAGAAAATGTTGAAAAAATTTGAGAACTCATCAACGAAGACCAGTGCTGAATAATCCATGAGCTTGCAGTCACCAATGGGATCAGTTACGGAGTTTGCCAGGAGATCTTAACAGAAAATTTGAACATGCACTGCATTGCTCCTTCATCATGACAGTGCACCCTCCCACACATCCCTGAAAACAACAGAGTTTGTGACTGACAACACCATGGTTATACTGTCACATCCTCCTTACTTGCCGGACTTAGCCCCCTGTGATTTAATTTTGTTTCCCAAATTGGAAATAAAACTGAAGGGACAAAGTTTTGAAACAGTGTCTGACATCTGAAGGGGATTGCAAGTGGTACTCAACAGCATTAAGGAAAATGAAAGTGACTTCCACGATGCTTTTGAAGCATGAAAAAAATGATGGGATCACGGTATAAGTTCCAAAGGAGACAATTTTGAAGCAGATGGCAGACAAAATTAAGTTAAGCTAGCATTTCCTTTTTGACCTAGCCCAGGAACTTTCCGATACACCACGTATATGGACTCATTATATTCTCCTTGTATACCATTTTAGAGCAAAAACATCAGGAATAGGCATACTAAAGGGGGAATAATTTTCTAACATGGAAAATATTCACATAATATCAAAATTTCTAATTCATGATCCTATTAAGATATCTGTCCATTTTCTTCACCTTGTGATACACACTTGTAGCAGAAATTAGAACTATAGGATGCTACTGCAAAGTAAAGGTAAAATCATCCCTGTGCTTAACTAATTAAGCACTATGCCATGAAGACGTATAGGGGAGTGTATGTATATATCCACGTTTTCTTGACCTTGGCACTAGCTGGAGGTGAGTGGTCAGCTTCACGCCCCTGCCACTTTACCCCCAGGGAAAGATCCCCCGGTACCCACTGGATAGGAGTTTGGGTGGGCCCCAGATCCAGTCTGGATGACATGGAGAAGAGAAAACTCTTGACCCTACCAGGGCTCGAACTCCAACCCCTCGGTCATCCAGCCCATAGCCAGTCGCTGTACCGACTGCACTATGCAAAGTAATATGTATATTTAGTTGTAGGCTAGCTTCTGAATTGTCACCACCATGAAAACCTCAAATCTAAAAATGTATATTAATTAGCAGAATATATATATATATATTTCTTTTCCACCACATTATATTAGAAATTTAAAAAATCGTTCAGCCTAATGAGATTATAATTAAGGCGCATAAGTTAGGTGATCCAAGCAACACCAGATATGAAATAAAAGCGGCAACAACATTTCACAACCCTTAATGTTCTTCGTTGTGTACCTCTATGGCTCTTGAAGACTGATAGTATGTGTTGTCATACACCCACTTGCTGCATTTGACTGAGCTATTTGTAGTGGGATCTATCAAGTGACACGAGTCCAAGACTCCATCCTTGATGAGCGGAACTGAAGCTAGCACCTCTGGTGAGTCCCACAATGCCACTGTCCCATTCTCATCAACACCTGGGACTTCACACCTGCCAAACAAAATAATACTGTCATCCGTGATGTTGCACTCAAAATACTGAGGAATATGTGTACTGTTTGTAGACAGGGCACAAAATAAAAATGTACTCTTATTGCACAACATATTTCATTTTTAAGATGTCAAATTTCCACCTGTCTGAACTAGTCAAACATGACTAACACACTCAGTGCTTTTCAATTTTTTTTTTTTTTTTGTTTTTTGGTTTATCTGCAGTTCCATTCTCAGGAACAAATTTATTCTGCTGTGTTGGGAATGTCAAAACAAATGCATACAATCATAGATACACTGGTTTAAAATGTGAAATGCAACCAATTAATTATTGCTGTCAAGAAAGTAAACAAATCAAACAAATCTTAAAATTACACTTAATCTAACATAATCTAAAAACTGACAATATTATTACTTTCACACAATATGTAATGGTTATACTACAATGACTTCTTCCAGAATAACATGTTAAAAGAATTAAATAAATGGGGTTCCATCCCATTAAGGCGACATAGTTGTTGTACAGATTTTTCAATATAGAATTAAACTTTATTACTTCTCATTTGGTCAAATCACTTATCATGCATTATGCACTCTTCTTGAAAAACAACAGCTGCAGATTCTGACGCTGAAATTGAAAGTCTAGTCTAGAAGTACTAACTGATCCACATCAGACTCATTTGTTTAATATTATTTCTCTCCATCTACAGATGAATGAAAATTTCTGCAAATAACTGGTCCTTCCCAGAAAATTACATAACACAGTTAATTCTTTCTTCTAAACCCACTTCTGAAATTTTTTCAGTGGGCAGCTATAAAGATTACTTATATTCTCGAATGTGACACCATGCTGCCTCACAGACTTATACATATGACTTGGAGAGTATAGGTGTATTTCTTTATTTTACTTNAAGTAAAACCATGGAATCCGTTTGTGAAATGACTCATACCATTCATTATTTTTCAGTTCTACTTTACTACTCTGTTTGTATGATACTTCTATAGCAATACAGTCTTATTCAAGGGTGATGACCTGCTAATACGAACCCATTTAGTATTAAAATTAAAAGAAGCTCCATTTTTGTTATGTGCAAGTATGTATACACAAACAAGAAGTGATTATCCCATTATAGCACACTAAATAAATATGGTGTTTCAATAACGTACACTGTCACAATAATTGTATTTTATGCAATAAAATACACATGAACTATAAACGAGAGGGTCTTTGAAACTAGTAAATGATTAGTCTCAATTTAAATAGTCAAATATTTTTCAGAGCAGAAATAATAGTCCCTTACTTATGTCAGAAATCCCTAATGTTGGAGTGGCGGTGTAGCTCCATGTATTCTTAACCTGCGTACTAGATGGAAGCGTGTGGTCAACTTCACTCTCCCTCTCCGGCTTCGTTACCCAGTGGAAATGGGTCCCCATATCTGATGCTGGGCCCCAGAATCAATGTGAACGCAAGGTGGAAAAGTAAGAGCAGAACGCACAAATTCTATATTTAGCTTTCCGTCTTGTGGCAATAACTAATATATCATTTGAGTTGAGCTGACGAAATTTTGTGGGGAGAAAGATCGTAAAATGACTGTCCTTTACAAGAACCGAAACCCGCAAAACAAAACACCATTAAACGAGCGCTCTGTTACTTCTATAATCATGATCATCTTGATAGTCATCATCCGTACTGTTCCCTGAGCCACAGATCAAGAACCGTGCTACAGGATTTAATTGTACTTATGATCGTTAGATGGTACTACGTTTCTCCGATTTCTCTGCCATCTGTGAGCAGATTAGGAATTTGGTTCATTCTCCGACTTTTCGGGCCTCTTTATCCAGTTGTAAGAATGGTTGGGCTAAAAAAATTTTGAAAGTAAATTGTCACTTGTCCAACATCTGCCTGAAAATGACTCAGGAAGACGACGAAAAATCTGTAAGTGCGGCTAGAGACCTTACAATCGACATCATTTTACCAAACCACAAAAATAAATAGCATTTATTGTCCACGAATACAACACCGAACAGAAACTCGAAGTGATTTGCACTTGATGGTCAGTCACGTGCTTGGATCGAATTGATACAATTTAGCAGCAAGGTCTAGCAAGAACTTCTGATGCTAGCTTTCCCCCAGATACTTTTGTCTAAAGCCTGGTGCTTGTAGGACAATAATTCAATAGTGTAATTTAAAAGTAAAAGTAAAGGTATCCCTGTAACAGGACGTGGAGACCCATAGGGTTGTGAGATGTCGAGGTTCCCACATTTTCTAGACAATCGGCTCATAGATGGCGGCAAGGTTGTCAGCCCTACGCGCCGGCCGTCCTTTACCCCCAAGAAAATTCCTGGTACTCATTTTTGTTACAGGTTGAGTCGACCCCAGGGCCATACTGCAGCTGGAATGATTAGGTCAATTAAAAAAATCCACCTCGCCGGAATTCGATCCCATGACCTTCCGACTTGTAGCATAGTGCCTCAGACCTCTTACCTTTTCATTTTTTGTTTGCATTTCTTTTTCTTATTTTACTTATCTTCATTGTTTGCTCTTTTCGTTCTTTTTTTACTTTTTCTTTCAGATATTCTATGTAATTGTATTTTATTTTGTCTTTCTTTCTTTTTTCAGTTTTACGTTCTATTCCTGGCTACCTTTTGTACTTTCGTTTTGTGTATCTTTCTTCTTACTTCCTTGTACTTTCCTTTCCAATCATACGTGTTGCAACATGTAGATACAGTTTCACCAGAAATCCATCACGAACGCTTATCATCTGTCTAAAACATCTTTGAGGGTGCTTTATGTCTTGAGCAGACAAGCTTTTGGAACAACAGCCCTGCTTGTTCAACGAAATCTGCGGTATGCCGATTTTCGTTCGCATCGGGCGTTGAAAACTGAATCTAGTATACTTTGTAATGAAGTCGTAACGATCTACGTCATTACCTGATGATGACGTACGACCAGAGATGTTTCAGGCGCGGCATACCTACTTTGAGAACTGCTCCTGACCTGCATGCGCGAGGGCCCACCATTCTTAGACTGTGGGCATGAGAATTTGTCGGCCCTGCTGCCGCGATCCTGGGAAAGTGCCCGACCTCGGGCACTAACCGCGAATTTCCTCAGGAACACGGCAATTGACACTCTCAATTACGACAACAAATTGCNACAGCGTTAGCGGATAGAGGGTGCCGCGTGGTCAGCTCAACGGATCCCCACGGCCGTTAATTTCAGTTTTCTAGACCGGAGGATATGCTTAGCATCATTAAATAAATTCTATGTCAACAAATTAATTAAATATGCAATTAAACAAAGAAATAAGTAACACAGAGACCTAAACTTGATATGAGCGATTGTTCGCACATTGTTTTATGGCATGTAATACGCACAGTGACCTTTAATGTGACATAGCCGTTATAATAAATTTGATCAACTCGGTCACAGGAATTTACTGTGTCTCTACAGCCCTTTCTGTTGGGCCTTGGCAGCTTTTTCAGTTTCTTAATCCTACACACAGTAGGTAGGATTCATTGATGGGGGATCAGTCCGTCACAAGACGGCTACCTATACACAGAACAACACAAACAGAGAATAAACGCACACAGACATCCATGCCTCGAGTGAGATTCAAACCCACGAGCCCAGTGTTCCAGCGAGCGAAGATGAATCATGCCTCAGGAATTTACTAAATTCTATGAAACACAGTCCTTCTTGAGAAGCCGATGGCCGGTAAGCTGATCAAGAAATTCCGCTCTTTTCATGAACTAGAAGGTTTAGGGTCTATTTACACATATCCGTGACATGCCAGTACCGTGTCAGTTCAGTTTCAGTGACATCCGTGACGTCTCAGTGACGCCTATACACACTATCAGTATAGTTTCAGTAGTTCGAAGTTCGAGATGACAAAGTTTACGGACACTGAATTGGCAGTTATTGCAATAATTTTGGATGAAGAAGAAGAGGAACAGCGTGAGGTTAAAAAACGGAAGTGGGTACATGAGACATGGGTGAATAGAGAACGCGATGGAGAAATCGGTACCCTATATAAGGAACTAATTGATGGTGAGACGAAATATTTTGGATATTTCAGAATGTCTGAAAATTGTTTTAACACATTGCTGAGTAAAATAAAGTTAATTTAAAACATCAAGACACCCGCAGGAGAAAGGTTATAACACTACTATAACATCTGCTTTCATTTTTTTTTCTATCGTATTCCAAATATCAGTTTTGAAACTGCTGTCCATGTACTTTGGCTGCGATAAATCATAAAGAACAGAATATCTGCGAACCAGTTCAATCAGGTGTTCGTCATTAATTTTTCTTCACAAACTCCACACCACAACACGTCCGTGAAACAAGAAAAAAATATCAGTGGCGACGATACACAACGTCACGGAACAGATACTGCACTGATACCGACACCTACAATACGGCACTGCACACGGAGGTGTGTGGACGCGTCCGTAAAGTTCAAAGAAACGATACGAATCATCACTGACACTGATGAAATTTCACGGAATTGGCAAGTAACGGATATGTGTACATAGACCTTTACTGGGATGTTCACAAGAACATGCCATGCTATCCTGAGCCACTTCATTCCACTTCATAATGTCACACTCAGGGGCGGCCCGCGTATAGGCACCGCGGAACTGCAGCACCCCCCAATTTCCACTTGATATTATCGATAACATTTATATAATGAGTCCTTTTTTCTTTAATTCTTTCTTTATACTTGTACAATACAATATATAATCCTTAAGCTTAATAAAATAATGTTCATATACGACCAACTTCAGCGGACAGAGGGTGTCGCGTGGTCAGCGCAACGAATCCCCACGGCCGTTAATCTCGGTTTTCTAGACCGGAGCCGTTATATCCTTGAAATAGTTCCTCAATTATCATCACGAGGCTGAGTGGACCCCGTTCTAGACCTACTACTTCTCAGAAAATCTGGCAGCGACGGGAATCGAACCCTGGACCTGTGGATCTGTAGCCAGGAACTCTGACCA